AAACTTAAAATTTGGCAGACCACCGAGACGTACTCTCCCCAGACCTTTTCAGTCATGGCAGCCATAGTAGCACCAGCCGTAGTGATTTGCTTAAACTCCCTATTAATTCAATGTGGCGAGTGCCTGTCTCCCCTTCTGCACGGGGGCTCAGTTGCCAGGATTTGCCAGCCATGGGAGCGGTGACTTCATCTAGGAGCTGGCTGCCAACAGTGGAAGCTCCTGGATGTCTCAGGGACACAACCTCCATTTAGCGATGCAGTTGTTAATTTTTTGCAATATGATAAGGAAATTTAAGAAAGACAAATTTCAACAATCAGCCAGCACAATATTCCTAAAAGGCACTTTAAACTTGTTCCTATTACATGTAGGATCAACTGTTTTATGCTGCTTAAGTTTCAAAGAAAGTGGTTGTGTACAAACCCAACCACTCTTAATAAGGGTGTGTGTACATTGTACCAGGCTGACTTTCACATTGGTACAAGTTCATTCCAAATCCCTCTTGTGGTTCAGTATTCGTTTACATGATACCAACACAAACTGTCATACCGGAGTGAATCATACCTGTGCGATTTCACCCCAATTCCTGTTGGACTGGAATGACATTTTCATTCCAAATGAAAATTTACTCATGTCTCATGTAAACATAGCATACTTGAAGAGTCATCATTTTTTTTATGGCAGTTAAAACTCACACTGCCATAAAGATGCCTTAATTATGTAAACACGGTATGACTTTTTCATCTCATAACAGAATGTAAGTCACGCTGGTATGGTGTAAATACCCCCTAAAAAAAAGGAGTCCACAAATCTTACATCTACATTCTCCAACTCTTCAGAAATGTTCTCTCCAACAGTCATTGTGTCTTGATTTTCAATGAGAATATTTATCAGTTCATCAATCTGCTTCAAACATCTGCAAATCACAACAGTTTCATTCAGGATTACTCGACATTAATATGCACACTCTGAAGTTCTAAAACTGGCATTTTTCACTGCCATCAATCATAATTTAATGACAGACGTTCAACAAATCATGAAAAAAAAACATAAAA